ACTGTGACCCGATGGGCTTCATGTTTAAAACTTTTAAAATACATTGTATACCTGTATTTGAATGTATTTGACATTTCTGATTTTGTCCATATCTTAACTGATAACTTAATTTTTTCCATGGATTTGTCAATGTTTTATAAATCCTCATTTTGGCCATTACATACTAGTATAGTAGACAATTTAACAATGATACAATATATTACATTTAAAGAAAGATTGATTATCTCTACAAAATAAACTAGTATGCGGACTTAAATTGGCAGTTACAACCAATATGAATAGAATTTATTGAACACTTACCCTGTTTGTCCCCATTCCATGCATGTTAATATTCAGTGCTATGGAATACTTAAGAGAATGTTTACTGTACAGCTGTTAATTCACAATTATGGGTGAGCGTTCGGCAGGAACTATCCCAGTAATGGCTCTAATACACATGTCACAGTGGGCTTGGACACTCTCCTACATGTTAAAGGTACGCCAAAGTGTGTTTCAATCAAAACACGATATATCATTGTCAGTAATATTCCTTCTGTAAATCTTTGTATTAAACAAAATGTATTATACTAGTATATAAGAATGGGAATTTTTTTCAGTATAGTTCAAAATACTATTTATATACTTCTTTTATTCATTGGAACTAAATACTACAAGCATTAATCTTTCATAGTGAAGGTTTCCTTTCTCGATATCACAGAATCAAAATTATAATATATTTTGAATCTAAACTTTTTTTATCCTTTATAGGATCAGATTATTAAATATGAAAAATATCCATATATATACATTTTTTTTCCAATCGAGTACCCGGGTACTCCGTAAAGTGGTAGATACAAGTCTGTTAATTTTCTTAATCCCAGGTAAAGAACATCTTTTTTTTAAGGTCAGACGACACGATCCTCAACCATATGTTTCGTATTTCTTGGCATTATATAAAAAATAATTCATAATAATATTTTTTTGTGATTGCTTCATTGTTTCCAATATGTTTTATAAATAAAAGTACATTAAAAATTGCGATAAAGGTCATTCAGAAAATAAGACTTTATGTGTGAATAGGTGTAATTTTTGTGTAAACAAATATTTAACTAAATAAACATATAAATATTGTATAAACAGGGATTAATGAATACATGTTGGAATATAGGACAGGTATATTTGCGTTTTTAAATTATAAATCAGACTTTTTTCTTAATATTTGAGTGAAAAAATGGAAATTTACTAAATAATTTAAAAATGATTTGAAGATAAAAACAGAATCAGAATCAGAATCAGTTTATTCGCTCAAACCATACAGCATGGTACATGAGGAACATAAAGTATATACAATGTCTATAATGTCGTCAGAGGTACATTAGTATAAATATACACACATATAAATAATTAATATAAATATATATACGTAAATAAATGTTTTACAACTGCATGTAGAGAGGATGTACATATAGTACATGTAATAATAAAGTATATGCAAAAAGAAAATACCAGGAGGACAGCTAAGAAGGACAGACAGTCTCAAATATTTTTGAAATAAATGTACATAGTTTTTGTAAAGATTGTATATTTGCATTGGCCATGAGTTCATAAAACTTGACAACATTTGGTCTGGTGCAGTAACTTTTGTGTAAAAATTTTTTTCTTATCTCTGAAAAAGCTGTACACTCTAAAATGTAGTGGTATTCATCGCCTATCTTTCCATTGTTACAAACTAAACATACTCTATCATTTAATGGGGTGCCACACCACCTCCCTGTTTCGACAGGTAGATGATGATTTGAGGTACGCATTTTCATCAATAGCTTTCTTTGTTTTGGGCGTAAATTTTTAATGTAGCTTTCAAATCCGAAATTGGTTTTAAAAATTCTGTAAATCTGGCCTTTGGAAGAACTATTTATGTCATTTGACCATTTTTGAATGAACTGGTCTTTTAAATTCTGATTTACAATAGCACTTAGCCATTTAGCATTGACAACACCTTGCTCATTCCATATAAATGAAAGTCCACAATTATTTAGAATTTTTTGAATACATTCAATCCATTGACATTTAATACCATCGTTACTTAATTGGTTATACATATACTTGTACACAATATTGACAATTTTATCTTCTGCACATGTAAACATCTTTGACCAGTAAGTAATCATTCTCGTAAAAACATTGATGTACAAAGGGAATCTTCCAGTTTCTCCGTAAATCATGTAATTTGGTGTAGAACTTTTCAAATTAAATATAGTTTTTAAGAATTTTAAATGAACACGTTCAATTATTTCCATATTTTCATAGCCCCATATCTCACATCCGTAGAGTAAGATGGGTGTGACTACTTTATCAAACAAGTCAAGCTGACATTCGATCGGTAAATTAAATTGTCTAATTTTTCTTATCACCCCGTACATTGCTTTCTGTGCTTGCTCACAAAGATGTTTCTTCGCTTTACAGTATGAACCTGTTCTTGATAATACAATTCCTAGATATTTAAATTCTTTTACATTTTCAATATTTTGGGTATTGTAATAAAATTTCCTCTTTAACATTGCCCCTTTGGAGAAAACCATGACTTTTGTCTTATCAACGTTCACATTAAGTTTCCATTGAGTACAATAAGTATAGAATTCATTCAATGCCTTTTGTAAATCATCAGCAGATTCTGCCAAAATAACAGTGTCATCAGCATAAAATAAAATCAAAAGTTTTAAATGTAGTAATAATTCATCTTCAATTTCTTTACTAATAGTTTGTAATCCGACTATGTCCTTTTCTACCAAAAATTCTTCAAGATCGTTTATGTACAAAGAAAATAAAAAAGGTGACAGATTTTCGCCTTGTCTTACCCCGACATTACATTCAAAAAATCCCGAGGACATTCCATTTTGTTTCACTAAAGACTTAATTCCCATGTACATATTCCTTATATAATTGAAACATTTACCGTTAATACCATTTCTGAATAGCTTATTCCACAAACCGTTTCTCCATACAGTATCAAATGCCTGTTTAAAATCAATAAATGCACAAAAAAGTTTCTTTTTTCTTTTCATAAGGATATCAGATAGAAATTGCAAAGTTAAAATATGGTCTAATGTTGAGTAATTTTTCCTAAAACCTGCTTGATTATTATTTAGAAGGTTAACCTCGTTTGCATACATTTCTAGTCTATTCGCCAATATGCGGGTAAAAAGTTTGCCTAGGCAGCTTAGCAGAGATATAGGACGATAATTTTCAGGCTGGGTTGGGTCGCCCTTATTCTTATATATCGGTCTAACAATACCAATTAACCATTCATCTGGAACGAAACCACTATCAAAAATTATATTAAAAAACTTCTTATACAATGGTAAAAACGTTGACAATGTTGTAGAAATATGTTCATTTAGAATGTTATCATACCCTGCGGCTTTACCATTCTTAAGTTTCTGAATAGCCGCTATTATTTCTTCTTCGACAATTTCACAATTGATAATACTGTCTACATGGTCTGAGTTATCATTTGTATCATCTAATCTAAAGTCGTAATTTTCGTCATCGTTAGCATCATTAGTATTGCCTTCATTCATTTCTTTTAAAAATAGAAACATATCTTGGATTTCAACAGCGCATTTTTTATCTTGACTTGATGCATTTAAAATTCTCCAATAATCTTTCGGGTTTGTTGAACGTAAATGGGCAAGTTTTTGAGTTAATTTATTTCTGTAACCCTTCAAGCAGTTATCCATTGTTTTCTTGTATTGTTTGCTAGTTGATTTAAGGTCGCCTTTGTTTTCAATTGTTTTATTTCTATTGTAAATTCGCTTTGCTAAATGGAATTTTCTCCTTGCTGTTTTACATTCCTGGTTAAACCAGGGTTTGTTACACTTTTTATTATCCATTGAGGGGTTTTCTATATTTTTTTTCATACCAAACGTTTCTTTTGCTGAATTAACAAAAACTTCACAAATGTTTTTCGCTATTTTGGTAACATCATCCCTGCAAATACTTTCAATATTAATAGATAGTCTATCTAGATCATTTTCTATGGCTAATACAGAACTCACTTCAATATTGCTACGAAAATCGTCTGCTTTGTCCGCACACCATAATTTTACACTTGGTTGATTTTTACCTGTTCTACAACTTTTGACCTCTTTGTTACAATTAGTGAACGAAAAAGTTATTGAATTATGTACATCTGAAAAAAGGTTACAAAAATCAATAATTTCAAAATTTTCCACAATTTCAAAAATATTTGCACTGGCTACAACATAATCAACAGTGCTGCTATTCTTACATGTGGCACTACCTGTATTTTTATCTCTGCCAACCCGGCTATTCACAATATACAAGTCATTATTTTTACAAAAGTCAACAAATTTATGTCCATAATTATTTACAGTGCAGTCTTGTACAACTCTTTCTAAAGGAATCTGGTGGTCATTAAATATCGAACATCTAAGAGCAATCTCTGAATGAATCGGGCTATGAGTTACCTGTGTCAAAAATTCGTCAGAAGTACAATAGTCGTGTAATTTACCAATTCTGGCATTGAAATCTCCAAATAAGCATACATATTTACAGTTATTTGCCATGTTTAAAATTTCTTGCTCTATTTCTAAAAAACAGTCGGGAGAGGAATATTTACTCCCTTCTGGTGGAATGTACACAACTCCACATAAGATATCTTCACAAGTATTAAGTAGAAATTTACTAAGTTTGAACCAAAAAATGAATTTACAATCTGTTTTCAAAATATTTACATGTTTTATAATATCGTCTCGTACTGCTATAACTAACCCACCAGATCTTCTATTTGATAATTTGTGTCTATTTTTCATGAAAACTGTGTAGCCGGTTATGTGTATATTGTCCGAATCATCGGTTTTAGTCTCTGAAAGACCTATTATGTCATACTTAGAGATGAAATCGTAAAACTCTGGATAATTAAGTCGTTGTTTAAGTCCACATACATTTAAGGATAAAATTTTCAGGGATTTGTCCCTGTCAGTTTGTTCTCCCGCGATTTCCTATGCCTGCTCAGGTGTAGATCCCTGTCGCTGTCGTTTTAGTGCCTGGCGGTCGGTATTTTGCGGCGTGCTCTGTTGATCCATCGGTTGATAACTCGAGGTCGAATTCCAGGTAGGTAACGATTGTACAGGTGCGCTGGGCGCGGATCTAGCTGATGGTATGTATTCTTTGCCGTCGATGTACAGCGTGTCTTTCACAAGCTTGGCGCGCTTATGATCTTTCAATGCTTGCCGAAGAACCGGATAGAGTTTTCTTCTTCTTTCCTCAATCTCAGGAGGGAACTGCTCATTTACCCAAACATTACTGTGTTTTAATTTTTGCGGTGCTCGACTGCGGATGAACTCTCTATCTTTGTAAAACGTAAATTTTGCGACAATATTTCTTGGGTGTTCACTAAACTCGTTCCATTTTCCCATTCTATGTACACGTTCAAACGAGATTTCGTAATTTAGTCTATATTTTCTTTGGATAAAATCTTGAAGAACAGCTTCAGTATCCTCGAATCTCCGTTCTGGTATTCCTGAGAAAATAAGATTGTCTCGCATTGAGCGCATTTTGAGGTCTGTAACTGAGTTTTGTAGAGCCTCGTTAGCATCATTCACAGCTTTTAACACATTTTCGGTTTGTTTTTGGGTACGAAGACACTGCTCTGTAGCTTTCATATTGCTCACAATTTGGTTCTTGTTCGCCTCAGTTGCATCTTTGACTGAATCGAAGACATTTCCCAGTGCTTTCATATCTGTGTCAAAGTTTTGAACATCATTCTTCACACTTGTTACTCTTTCATCAAGTTTTGATACTTGCGATTTTAGCATATTTACAGACCCTTGTAGTTCATTAAAGGAGGCCATTTTATTTTCAATAGCACTGAATTTTCAATTACTTTTTCAATTACTTTTGAATTACATTTCAATTACTTTTTTTCAAAATGAAAGTTTATAAAAAGGTGTCTTATACTTAATCAAGGAATGAAGCTTATTTCAACTTATATTATCCGATATAACATAACTTGGGGCAGTTTACTTTATAAACCGCGAAGCGGTTTATAAATAAGAGTAAACTGCCCCAAGTTTTGTTATATCGGATAACATAAGTTGAAATAAGCTTCATTTCTTATAATTTAATTTCAATGTAGACAATGAGACAATATTTCCTCCAGAAAAAGGCTTCAAAATGAGCATTATTTTAAAAGTAACGTCAAGCGAAGTGATACCTTTTTGACGTAACTCATTGTGACGTAGGCAAGTTATGTTATACGAAATGGAAAAAAACGTTTAACCAATCAAATGACGCGTTACAACTGAAATTAAATTATTTACATTTCAAAGTAATTGACCCCAAGCCTGTTATTTACACCATTTTTTGAATATATTATTGCACACTACTCTTGAAGTTTCTCCTTCACTACAGTTAATATCATGGTGAGGAGTAAAGAAAGAGGCTTGGTTGAGCATTTACTGGAACCCGCTATGTATCTTTGTCTGTAAAGATATTCTTATAAAGTTTGGAATCCAATACAGTGTATAATGCGTCAAGCGAAAAGGGACCTTCGTGACATAAACGTTATTACGTCACAATAGCGCTTCAAAGACGTGACGTCGCGTCTGCACGTTTGCCGATGAAAAAAATTCATACGATATAAAACAAAACAAAAATATGTTATCGGAATACATATATATTTTTTAAAAAAAAAGACACGCCTAAAACGGTCTTGAAAAAATTTTTAATGTCGTCAATATATATGTAAAATGTAAAAATATTGTAATGAAATGGTTTGATTACCCCCCTCCCTTTTTTTAGATGTGCTAATGTTCGTTTTTATTTCTAATGAAACGGGAAAGGGAAGCCTTTCAAAGATTAATTCCGATTTTTTTTCTTTATTCTCTCTTAACTTTTTAAAATTGATTTATTTTCGTTTTGATTTTGCTTGTTCATTTTCGTTTTTACGTATTTAATTTAATACTATATAATTTTTAGTTCGACCTTAACCACTTTGAAAACACGGTACATACACGATACCCCCCCCCCCCCCCCCGCCGTCAAAATAAAAAAACGCTAGATCAATGAAAGAAGTACCGGATTATTGTCTTGAAATTCACACCATCAGTGAAGTTTTGTAGATAAATCCTCGATAGAACTCCGTATTCTTTCTCAGTTATAGACGATATTTGCAGAGGATCATGATAATTTGATATTTGGGAAGCTGTGCATCCCGTTTGTTAGTGTTGCCTAAAAACTATCTCAATTTACACTGTGATTGCATTATCAATGCTTATATTTACGAACACTTATTTTATGAACTCTTAATAATTTTGCCCAATGACTCCCTTTTTATCTCTGTAAAATAACCTTTTCCACAAATGAAGTTGCCTTGAAGAAAGAAGAAACAATCGGGAATGAGAGAAATCTTGACCTTTTTTATTTTAAGAATCACCCCTATCATAACCTGACTATAAGAACGAAAAGTTAGGATTTTTAAAAATTAAAATACTTTTTTTGAATAATATCCTAGAATCATCATTAATTTGTTACTTTATTATTTTTTTTGGGGGGGAGGGGGTGTAATTGAGTACACATATCACTCGGAGCTCCTCGGATGGCTCGTATACGAAGTGTAGCGGAGAAAGCCAAGGATTTTCGACTGTGCACATTATGCATATAATGAGAGAAATCTATCAAAAAATGCAAATAATTGAAAATTTTGCTTACAATCACATGCTGAGAATAAATTTAAGGAATTTTCTACCGATGACAGCTTGTATACATATAGAATACCGTTTTGATTTTCAGAGGTGAGGCCCATTTCCGACCATCTTAACATATATTAGCTCCAACCATAACGCTACAAATCTGCAGCTAAACATATATTGTCTTGTTCTCATTGACACTGAAAATGAATTTAACTCATAGGCGTCGGAACCAGGGGCGGGGGGAAGGGCTAGGCATTGAAAATTGGGATTTACCTCTTTTGGTTGGTTTAGCCCCCCACTTTCAATTAGCCCCTAATTTTCAATTTGCTTCCGATGCCCATGTAACTGATTGTTTAATTTACTTATATGTAAATGTGCATGTACTTCTATATTCAAGTGATGTTTAGATTGTACATCTGTAAGTTAGAATGTCATCGGGACCCTGACTTGGTCAATAAAATATTGCATGTAGCAACGGACCAACTCATGAATATATAGGTGGCACATAAGAAAAGCTTAAACAGGTCAATAATATATTAATTTTAGTGTTGAAAGTCGAATTTAACGTCTGACTTTGAATTGTGATGCATCAAGCCTAGATATATAGGTACGTAACCTATACGTAACCTAGGTATTTTTCATCGGTATTTTTAGTGCAGAGCAAATTAAATTAAACTCCTTGATATTTTTAAAGAAAATAAAAAGCACGTTTTTTCACATTGTACAACACACAATATCTATCAAACTGAATGAATGAATGCATTGAAGTAACGCAACTTTGTTCCAAGCACAATATGCCGGGCTCGTTTTCGAAGAAGACCTCCCCCTCCCCCCTTTCTCCAGTGTAAAAAAAATGTACAAAACTTTATTTCTTTCACTGATATATGGTAAAGTCACAATTATTGATACAATGTGTGAACCAGTATATTTAATTTAATTCAAGCATCTTAAATCATTGTCATACAGGAAAGTAGCATCGTTGGAGGTGGGATAAAAAAAACACGTTTATTCTTATTTGAATTTGGAGATTTTCTATATTTCAGTATAATTTTCAATTGAAATAAAATGAAGGGAAATCGTTTTTGAAAGAAGTGTGAAATAATTGAAAGGTAAAAATTACAAAGCCTGAAAGTTTCACCACAACCACCCCCAAAATTTAGTTCAGGGAAGTACCATAAAATATTTAGGTATTGCTTAAGGGTCTGTTTTTGTGGAGGTGGGTTTGCTGATTATACCGAAAGAGAAATAACATTTACTTTGACCGGGATCAATCCTTAAGACCTTACTACATATGCATGAACAGTGATGTCAGATATTCTTTTTACCCCATTGCGAGCAATCATAATAACTTGGTCAATTCCGTGAACGCTAAATAATTTCTCTTGACAAATGGCCGTGTTGTTACGAATGCCTTGCGAGATGATTTCAGAGTAGGAACTTTTTTGGTTTTTTATGGTCAGCGGTCTGTCCTAGCTGGTCAAAGATCCTTTTAAATACAGTGGACCATAAAATATTTAGGTACTGCTTAAGTGTTTTTGTGGATGCTTCAATATCCGAAAGAGAAATAACATTTTTCATCGGAACGAAATTTTAAAATGTTATTCTGTCTTGTTTAACTGGTGATTCAGATATCCGGCTGTTTGAACACATATTTCCGGACAAATTGACTGTTGGAACGAGATGATTTTAGAGTCCGGAACTTTTTTGTTTTTTTATGGTCAGGGTCCACTGTACAAATTTATTTCAATATACATTTATACTTAGATTATTTTTTTTTTCAACAACCTTTAAATTATCACTATTTTACAATAAAAATGCTAATATATGGAGAAATATATATATATAAAACTTTAAAATACAAGTAGTAAAAAATAATTTCTAAATCATTCAAAATGGTATTTTAGTAATGACGTTCCAATTATCAATGACGTTATGTGACGTTATCCAACGTTTTACGGCGTTATCTTGTTAGATTTGCATTGTTTTCATTTGGAATTTTAATTAGAATTTAAAAGGTATATAATAAAAAGTTTGGTATCAAAATATTCATAAAACTAGCTCTTTCAGAAACGGTGAAAAACCGATTTTCGAAAATGTGGTCACGGAGGTCCCTTTTCGCTTGACGCAACTATTATATATGGTAGCTCAAATTCATTTTGGTTCTTTGGGATGTCACAAATATTCAAAACTGACATATGATTTTGAAGAATAAGTTGATTTACCACTTGCAGAATTAAATCCAAGCTCTAAAATACAATTTATATAATGAGCCTTACAAACGAAGGACAATGTACCTGCTTTGTCGTCGGGGACCAGTACGTACCATCGTTGATGCCCTGGCATACTGTACTAACTAGACAATGAATTAAATATATTCCCAGGGGAATTTGCTGAATTGCTTTTACCCTCTTCCACCTTATCCCAGTTCTGATATATTAGAGGTCTCTGTTTGCTCTGCTCCTGACTTGTATTGTTTTGAATGGACTTTTGAGCTTGAATTCTGTTCGTTATCTCTCTCTATATATGTGTCATTTTTACAGTTGTTACAGATTGATTATTTGTCCAAAATACAGAACATCTTTTTTTAAAAAAAACTTACATAACAAACTAAGTACAACTAGATTTATGTTGGGAAAAGAATTGTTTTACATTTAAAACAAAAACTTTTCTCCGCCTATATATCATAATAAAATGAAAACTTTTTGAACTGGAGTAAAGTTTTACCACTAAAACTAGTCCATCAAAACACAAAACACAATTCAATTGAATGAGACATTACATAAAGTCATATGCTGACAGCAACCTGAATGTAAAAATCAATTCAGAGTACTTTTTTGGGCTTGCTCTTTTGGGAATTTACCTTTTGATAATAAAATGTTTATTTTCTTTCTTCTTTTAAAAATGATGTGTCTGAGAAGCAATTTAGTGAACCAATGAAGGAAGAAACTGTACGTTTATGTAATTCAGTTGTCATATCATTTAAACGACTGCGAATGGCATAATGGATAGAGTTCATGTCATCAGCAGGGAAAGGAAAGCCTGGCCAGCGAAGGTTGAATAAAAAGGACGAGGCTTAATTGTCATAAGGAGTGCGATGATGAAATAAAGATACCGAAAACTGCCAGAGAGGGCTTCTTTCGTCTTTTCAAATTTCAAAGTAAAATTTGAAGATAAAAAAAACACAGTGGTCAATTTCATGAATCCAGTCATCAAACTAAAGTCGAGAAAGCACGAAAACACGGTCCGTGAACAAACCAGATATTAGATCATCATACATGTGTCTAGCAGTAAGCTTCCCCATCCATCAGTCACCTCCGCTGTCAAACACCTTGTATTGATCCGAAAAACGGACAAGTCTGTGGTCAAAGGATTGACGTTATAAGTGACATGAAAGGTCACACAAAATACGGTCTAACAATAGACTGTATTTACAAATAAGATCATCATATTGACAGTAGAATTTGCCGAAAGCTTGCTTAAATAAGAAATTGTGAAATCCTAGCATTAACTAGATTTTCGTTGATTGGTTAAGTATGAAACATATGGAGATAACGAACAGTATTCAAGATCAAAAGTCCATAAAACAATTCAAAATAGGAGCAGAGCAAACACGGACCTCCAAAATATCAGAGGTGGGATCAGGTGCTGTGGAGGAGTGAGCATCCCCTGTTGATCGCTCACACCTACCGTGTGGTCCTTGTCAATTCAGTGTATATTAAATACACTAACAATCAGTATGAAAAACGTCAGTCAGCATTTGACTCAATGATGGTATTATCCGTAGGACCTACAATTTTCAATTCAATGTGCCAAGCACACGGGGAATTAACAGTTGATACCTATTTTTCAATCTCTCATTTGTTTTGATTTTATACACTCATTTTCATTTAGAAATCAAATAAAAAAGGATATATTTACGACCAGAAAGTTTAAAACAATTAACATCGTTGGTAAAACATACAATACAATCAATATTTAAACGTTGATCAGCCATTTATTCGTGTGACAATATGAACTACATTTTAGACGACAACGATTGTCCATTTTTATCGACTTAGGTCAGTCGCGGCTGAGATTCGAACTCAAGACCTTCCAAACACTATTTTTATGTGTACGCTTTGTTGTTAATGTATAAGAAAAGACAAACATGTATTTTTTATTACAACAGTCACTTTACTAGAAACATTCCTATTTTACAAAATTAAAATTACAAATTAAAAGCTAAGCAAACAGAGGTCTCTTCAAAACATCAGATGTGTAATTAGGTGCCACGCATGGAGGTGTGTAAGCCTCCTCCGTCGACCGGTCACATCCTCCGTGTGCTCCTTGTCATGATCGAGAGGATGAAAACATCCGAAAATTCAGTGTTTAATTAATGGTTAAACTGGTAAGAAAAACGTCAGTCAACACTTGAGAAACTATAAATGATAGATGGTATTTGCTTAGAAGATCATTGTATTGACTATAGAATTTTCATAACGATGACTTTAATTAAAAATATTCCTTTCACTTTTACTGCAGCCTCAGCCACAAATTTGCCATGATGACGTTATTTAAAAAGGGATTTCCACCGATTACTTTTGAGGGGACAGACTGCTTATATACATGTAATTAGCAACTGTATTTTACACGTAAAGGATGAAGACAGGAGGGTTTTGGCAGACAGCCTTTCCTTTGATTGTAAATACAAAGATCGAGATGTAAAATATTTTTTTTAAATTTAAACTATTTGAACTCTGATAAACAGTCCTCTCTTTCATTCTTTTACTATTACATGTACTTAGTATTTATAAGAAATAGAAAACTGTTATGACCTTGAAATATATATTTTGTTTTTCCTTTCGGATGAGATATCAAAACATTTTCAAAATATTGAATATATTTTTTTCAAGAATGAATAATTCTTGTGACATTCGCACTTCGCCAAAGGTAATTAAAGCAATACTAAGAATCGTATGCCAGAGAGAGAGAGAGAGAGAGAAACTTTGTTACAGTGACAGTGTTCTATTTTCCGATTCTCATGATGAATTACAAAAATGTTTCATGTACTTTACTTTAACTGTAATGACTGAAAAATTATCCGTAAATGTCAGTACAACTTAAAAACTAGAATTCAGGAAATCAGAATGTTAAATGGTATTAGATTGGAAGATTGAATTGCCGGTCACTTTAGTTATCTTGGTCTCACACTTTCAAACACACGGGTATTTTTGATTAACCTCTGATAAAATTGGCTTCTCGAAGGATAGCATCCATAAACTATTGGAATAAGTATTTACGCTGATTTCTTTGAAAGAAATACATAGACGATTTATAATTCCGGTATTTGCTACTTTTTAATTAAATAGGTTTGAAATTTGATTAAATAGGTTTGAAAATTGGTGAGTTTGAGATAAAAGATACCAAAGAGTCTGTCACATCTGTTTCATACTTGGATATTTTACTTGAAAAAGACGTTAATGGTAATCGTCAACTTCCCTTACTTATGCAGCTATATACCTTCATCACCTGCATACGGAGCATACTCAGTGTATATCTCAGTTGATTCGATACGCAAGAGCATGCTCTACGTATGAACAACTTATAAAATGAAGTACATTATTGACAAGCAAGTTGATGAAACAAGAATATCAACAGTCTCCTTTAAAGTCATCAGATTGCAAGTTCTATGGTCGATACAATGACCTTGTCAGCAAATGCAGTTTATCATTGAGTCAAATACTGATTGACGTTTTTTCCTGCAAATTGTTAGTCCATTATTTATAGACTGAATTGACGACGGATTTTTCCGTTATTTCCCGACCATGACAAGGAGCACACGGCGGGTGTGACCGGTCAGCAGGGGATGTTCACTCCTCCATGGCACCTGAGCCCACCTCTGATGTTTCGGAGGTCCGCGTTCGCTCTGCTTCTATTTTGTATTGTTTTCTGGACTTTGAGATTGAATACTAATCGTTATCTCCATATCTTACCTATTACTTCCAGCCTTCGAAGCATTTCGAAACACCGATTCCATTTCGATAAAATTCTCAAACCTTTTCTTAGTATAAGACAAGACTTTTTGTTAAAAAAAAAATTAAAGCGTAGCCGTAAGGGAGCGTACTTTAAAATGCAAAATAAATTTGACAAAGCCGAGCAACCAGTTAAAATATTTTAAATTCTACAAACATTCTGAGAAATCTCCACTTGGATTTTAATTAAAATATCTTGGATAAATTTTAATTTAAAAAGGAGCAAAAAACATAACTTAATAATACAAATTTATTTCGTATTTTATGTCATATATTTGAAAATATTTTGATTTCATATATACATTTTATATGAAAAAAAACTTGAATGTCATACAGCATAAATAACTAATAAAGCATATAAAATAAAGAAATATTTATAATGATGTCTCCACATTGTCCTCCCCGACAAAGAACGAGTGGGACACCCTTATAAGTTCCTCTATACTGACAGTGCTATTCCCGCTGTCCCTCGGCTTTCTCCTTTTGGTCGAGATTGCCTTGATTGTCGTATACAGAGTCGTCCGAAAACCACTTCCACAAAAAACATAAATAAAAACATTTACAGCATAGTTCAGATAATAAAGTGTAAGAAACAACTGCTGGAGCACCCTGTCTTCGGAGGAAGCTGACTGGACATTTTTCATCAGACCTTCTACGGTAACCTTGATACGGACGATATGGCTTGGGGTGTGTAGAAACAGAAAGACAAGAGCTACAGCTAATAAAAGTCTGGTGACGGCGCAGTGTGGGGAGATTTTCTTTCTACGAGCCGTGGAATGGGACCCTCGTAGGCGAGTGGATCGGCGGGTTGCCTCCCCTGAATTGAAGATGGTCCTGAGAACTAGGACGGGTACTATAAATAGCGGCACCACGAGTGTCAGTATAGTGTCCACATAAGTTAAGGCAAGCTGCACGTTTTGGAATTCTGGATTAGTATGACAATATGCTTTCCCTTGAAACACAGTTATTTTTGCACCCCATAAGGGGAAATTATATATGATGCAGGCTGAGATGAAACAGGTCACGACAGTGTTTCGAGCAATTTTTGCCGTGCAAGTCGATGCGACATTCACGGGGCAACAAACTCTTATGTAGTTTTCTATCGTAACAAAAACAACGGCCCATGCCGACATAAATCCACAAAGATATGATAAAAATAGAACTATTTGGCAGACGCCTTCGATGTGAAATACTCGAATGTCTACAAAATCTAACCATGCTATTAGGAGTGTAAAAAGAAATCCGTTGTCGGAGATGGCTTTCATGGCGAGGTAGATGCAACAAGACGTCGTTCGTTGTGTTTTTCTCACAAACAATTTTATGGATATTGAGTTACCCACAAAACCTATGAAGCATATCACTGGAAGTGCTAAGAGTCGTATTAAAAAGCTGGTGCGTTCGATTCCATATTCTGAATCAGCAATGTCGGTAGAATTTTTCATATTTGTTATATTCAAAGCCATTGTGTAAAATTTTAAATCTCAGTCTCCAGTTGTGAAATTAATTTCATATCAGCGAGCTAATTATCACCCGTCTGGAGAATTCCAAGTTCCATCACAGAACTATCCTCAAAATTACTTAAACATACCATTTTTCCAAGTTTCTGTCGAGGCGTCTGTGCTTGGTTGTTCGATAATGATCTACATAAAACGATAAGGCCTGATATATAAATATATATGTGTGTGAGTGGTAATGAAAGTCTCCCATCCAATCAATGTCTTGAGATGAATTAGAATATTGGAAGAAGGATGAACATTCTACAGTGTAAGAGAGTCGTTATCTACGTCAGTCGTCATCGCATGTCGAACGCAGTGTGTTATTGTTCAATTTCTTCAAGAACATTTACATGTACTACAGCAAGCGAAATTGTATAAAGCTGAATTCACAAATTGTCTTAACCCGTGGAGCTTTTATTTTTAATCCCAGATATGTAGGGTTACCATTTCCAATATTTGCAACTCCTCTCATACTGAATGAAATTTGTACTTTACATTTGCTTTTGCACCTCCTATTTTACTTTTTGATCCGACACATATTTTTTTACATTGGTCTATTTCTTGACCTTTTTTACATTGGTCTATTTCTTGACCTTTGTTCGTTTTTCTTTTATTCGGAAATTTATTACCCATTTCGGTCCATTACTGGGGTTTGTATTAAACCTTAGAGACCTTTGTAAGTAAGCACTAAAAATAAGCTACGCTTATAATAAAAATAAATTATTCAAAAATTGAAAGGATAAAATACTAAGAATGCAGTGTACGTGTATTAAATGTTTTGTTTAACACCACTTTAAATCCCCACGAGTAAGTACACGAGTGTTTACGTGCTGTACTTTTGTATAACTTAATTAGAAGAACATATTTAATTTCTTTTCTCTGGATTGAAAAAATAATTCACTGAGCCTTTTTTCTCTATATCTCTATATGTATATTGAATATTTTGATTTAATATATGAATTAGGTATTAAATTTTAGATTGCCGTTTCCTTCTACGCTTTCACTAATCCGATATATCATGTTTTCCAGGGGTTTTTTCACAATCTTGATATTTTACGTGCCACGCAAACGTAAGACCCAGCGCCGTTACGAAAAATGGAAATTCGCCGTCTCCAACCGGAGGCGGCATTCTGGGGTTGATTTTCGTCTTTTTTTTCGATACTTACGAATCGAATTAAATGTCAAACTCACATTTTTTCAATAGTACAATACTTTTAATACTCACCATCGTCGTTTTTATGGTTCGTTTATGGAATATGCAGTCCGGTGGAAACCTTTGTTCAGACAGTCGAGATTTTTGGTTTTCATTTCGTCTATTGTGGCAACGCACTTTGAAAAAAAAATTTCAAAGTGCATTAAAATTGGGACAAAATCAACGCACTTTGAAAAAAATTTTCAAAGTGCGTTAAATTTTGGACATACTCAACGCGCTTTGAAAAAGTTTTTCAAAGTGCGTTAAGAGTGTACAAAAACATATTTTACCATGGAGGCATTTAACGCACTTTGAAAAAAAATATGCATGAAACAAAAAAAATCTAGACTTAAATCATAGTAAAAGAGAGAATCAATTTGTAATAATTATATCTTTCGAAAAACTTTTTTAATTTACATTGAGAACAAGGAGAAGACGAGTAGAAGGTCTCTCATCCAAAAAACATTGTACATAGCCGTCGGTAGCAAATTGAAAGTTGACCCCCCAGGTAAGCCCCAATTTTTAATGCATACATATACATATTATGTATATCTTTGCAAAACATTTGTGTGCCTACATGTAACCCCACCCTTCCCGGTACTGATGCCTATGCTACACCCAAATATATGTATTTACCTAACTGGTATGACGTTGAAAACTTTCAATAAATTTAAGTTTACATAAAATGCATGCAAACTGGAAAAAATTAAGTACAGTAAAGCATTTAAGCGAGAAAGAATTTTCAAAGTATGGAAAAATCAAAATCGCTCACTTTCACATCCTAAAGTGACCTCATCACGAAAGAGTTATCAAAAAGGTTCAATCATTTATCATACCTAAGATCTGCAAGAATATTGACCAATTCCTACACATTTTTTCAAAGTGTGTTTATATGGTCGATATTAACGCACTTTGAAAAGAAATTTTATTTTTTCAAAGTGCGTTTATTTGGTCCAAAATTTAACGCACTTTGAAAATTTTTTCGAAAGTGCATAATTTTTCAAAGTGCGCTGTAACAGTGCATCATAAATTCTTTGCTAGACCAAGCGTGTATCGAAATGTAATGATATTTTCTTGTCATTGATATTTGTGAATAATAGAAGTATATCGCTACGATAAATTGTGAGTTCTTGTCATTGATATTTGTGAATAATAGAAGTATATCGCTATGATAAATTGTGAGTTCAGCATTTATATTGGTTTGCAAGTATCGAAAATCAACTCCGGTTGGAGACGGCGAAATTTTAATAATGGAGCCGGTGTAAAGTTTAAAATTGACCAAAGTTGAAAATTGAAGCAAGGTTTATTTTCAACGTTAGATATAGAACCGGGGGTGTTTTTTCTCCGTTGAAAATTGAGACCAAAAGTGGCTGAATTTATACCCGGGGTCATTTTTCAAAATGATTAAAAATCCCGAAAAAAGTAAAATATACCGGACTACGCCTTTACATGTATTCTTTTACATTGGAATGGTTTGGTGATTATTGTTAGAAGTCACGGGCATTGTAGATTATTTGATCTCTGATCATTATCGGTTGTAAATTACAAAGTACCATCTTGAATCGCTGTCATTTTCCTAAAATCGTAATGATAATGACTGCCTTTAGTTGTCTTTTCAAGAATTTCATATGTTTAACTATTTTTAACACTAAAAGGAAGTAATAAATTTTTGCTTTAAATATTAGTTTTCAAGTTTTCAAAAAAAAAACAAAACAAAAGAGAATAAAAGTATTAATTGTAGCGACGTATACGATTTTTCCCTCGATCATCAAAAATTATTTTAAGTCAAGAAAAGATCAAAAATGTAGCACGCTCTGGTATCTTTGAGCTATATAATTGTGATATTCTGCACATTTCTGAGGAACCTACGACCTAATTTCTTTTGTGACAAATTTTAACTTGTTTTGTTATAAAAGGGGGATAAATATACAGCATCGGTAATTATGCTATTTCGAAACTTATATATTATCATGATAATACATTTTTAACATTATTAGGCCTATGTGACAAAAAAAGGACACACACCCTTGTTACTAGTATTCTAATCAAAGATTATACTTTTTTCATATATGCATAGGTATGTCGAAACACTTGAGCACCTGCAAATAAGTACGGCGATGTCAATATCAGATATTGATTTTAATGAAAGCAGCAGTACAACTCCAAGATGTTTAGCTACTAACGGCAAAATCTATCAACTTTATGGCAATTTTAAGAGATGATTTCGGCATTTCAATCGTTATCTATTATATGCTGTGCCATCCTCCATTGTCATCTTCTATTATGTGTAGGAAGAGAATATTTTACTTTCACCTGGATACGGTGCTGTCTCTCAGAACTACTAGTATGTTCTATGAAAATATGCATGAAAAGTAGTAACTTTTTGGAAGCAAATATCAAATCACAGCACAAAATCATATTCTTGTATCTTACTTTTTTGTTAACACGGACCTTTTTAATGTCAAAAACGGGTCCAGGTGCCATGGAGGTGTAAATTTCACCTGCTACTGACCGGTCACATCCAATGTGTGCTCCTTGTCATGATCGAGAAAGAATGTAGGCTGCAGGTAAGTCTGTAAAACCTAGGTCAGCATTTGATTTAAATGATAGATTTAAAATTTCCCCATACATTAAACATATCTTCAAATAATTCCATGTAGGTCACGCGTAGTATAAATTTGGTAAATATATTCTTTTAAATGTTTTTTGACGAACACTTTAACTTGTAACAATTGTAAAAAGGGGAGATGAAAGAACAATTACTGTGCTATTTCGAAACATAAGTAATGTCATACTAGTATTTGATTTAATATATTTTTTACATTATTAAGATTCTTCTCTGGTTTCTGACTAGCTGAAATATTCAAAGTATATTTGCTTATATGTCTTATATACTAAGTATTTAGGTGTAAGAAATTTAAAACACCATATTTTTCTTTCCTTGTCACAATTTAACCAACTTTAAATAGAAATGGTAAACTGCGTTTGAAAAGTAGCAGGGACTATATAATATTTTGGCGGAATGGTGACATATGAAAATATCTTCTTTTCTGCCTCTCAAAATTGTTGTAGAACGATAAATTTCGTTATTATTTTTACATGATACAAGACTTGAAAAATTTTCAAATGTAAGTTAAATTAATAACAATGGACTAAATTTTCAAAATACATCAAATAAATATGTTTTTCAAGTAAACTAGAACTATGTTATCTTTTAAAAGCTTCCAATCTATGTACATATTTCAGCTAAAAATCCGTAAAAAGTATTTTTCTCTCTTAGTAAACAATCAAACATTTTTTTGTTTTTTGTATCATCCTGTATCTTTATGCGACAACTTTACCATATGTTACAATAAGAAAAATATGAATATATGAAACATATGATAATAACTTATATATCCTAAAAATTTTAGAAAAATACAAAAAATTCGGATTGGCCGTAAAATATCCATTTTAGTTAAATTATTTATGTCAATTTGGCAACATCATAGACCCTATATGGTCTTTTTATGTAAAAAGAAAATCATTCAATTTTTTAAAATGGAAGTAGGGATCGCATGATTGGCAACAGTAATTGTTTTATTCATAATGTCCACGGAATAGGTAATGACCTTGACCTGAGAATGCCTATAATATAAAACGATCAAATTTAATCTCACTGATACTATCACTTAGTGATATTGTCTTCTTGATTCTTTTAATGAAAATTCAATTAATTTTTAAATACAGGAAATATGAGAAGAATCCTAGCTTATAAAATCTCATATTATCCATTCTTAATTTTCATCACGGTTTTTTTTTTTTCATTTTTGTCTCTGAATTATTTCGGTTCTCGTAAAATCAGTTTTAGCTCACATGAGCCGAAGGCTCAATTGAGCTTTTCTGATCAAAATTTGTCCGTTGTCTGTCGTCGTCGTTGTCGTAAACTTCATATTTTCATCTTCTTCTTAAGAACCACTGGACCAATTTCAACCAAACTTGCCACAGAGTATCCTTGGGTAAAGGGGATTTAAATTTGTTCAAATGAAGG